CCCCCCAAGATTACCACCAGTCGCGCGCGCTGTGGCCGACGTTCTTACCTCTAGAGGTCTGCCTGTCTTGGAGTTCTCCGGGGCCACCCGTAAAGGACTGGGCTGCAGATCGACGGCTTCTCGGGCGCCGTCCGTGTTCGCCCCGATCGTCTCGCTCGCGCTCGCCAAGCCGTTCTTGGTCTCCTGCGACGCGGGCGGGCCTCTGCGGGGGCTATCAGCGCATTGGTGGGCCATTGCACTTGGGGTGTGATCTTGAGGCGGGACGTCCTGGCCATCTTCAATTCGGCCCATCGCTTCATCGACGTGGTGGGTGCTCAGCCGGCGCCCCTCAGGGAGTCTGTGGTGAGGGAGCTGCGGGCCCTGGTTCCTCTCTGGAGTGCCTCTACCAGGTCCAGGTGGTCTTCGCGGGTCTACGCGCCCGACGCGTCGCCGCGCGGCAAGGGGGCGCGCGCCAAAAACGCCCCCCCCCCCCCCCCCGGACTTGGTGTCTGAGATCGGCCGTGTCGCCGAGAAGTGGAGGCACCGCCAGGGCTCCAGCGTGCTCGCGAGGCCCCATACTTTCGACACCGTCGACTCAGATCGTGATATCGCTGATTGTTGTCCGCCTGTCGGTGCTTGCCGAGTCCGCCTCAGCAGCCCCGCTCGGGCCTGTCAGAGCTTCCCGGAGGTTCCTGAGGCCGTCTTCGGGTTCGACGGTTGGAAGACCATCCATTCGAGCAGGCGCGCTCGTCTTGGCTGCGGCGTCTTGCAGTATGAAGCCGAGGCCCTCGGGTTTAGCGTGCGCCGCGCGCCCAGAACTCTAGGGGCCCACCATCGTCGTGTCGCTTGCCTAGTCGACAACTTGGCATTAGCCGGCGCCGTCGGCAGGGGGCGTTCTGGCAGCCCGCGCCTCGCGCGCGCTCTGAGGCGCCTCTCGGACATCACTCTGGCACGTGGGCTGCGGGCGCTGGTGCACTGGGCCCCTCTGGCCGGAATGTAGCCGACAAGCCGTCGAGGGAGGGCTTCTTCGTCGGGCCGAGCCTCGAGGACTACCTCTCGGGGCAGGTGGCGAGGCGACCGCGGCCGCCCCAGGGAGGCGGCCGCGGCCGCGAGGGCTCGGAAGACCCACCGTGGGCCCGCCAGCCTCTCACGAGGGAATCCGTCGGTGCTGGAGGTGTCAGCCGCCTCGCCCCCCACGGGCAGGAACCGCCGCGCCTCCGCCAAGAAGTTTCAGAGCTGGTGCCTGTGGGCCGCGAGGGCCTTCGACGCCGGCGCCGAGCTCGACGCCGTGCTGGCGGTGCACTTCGTTCACCTGTTCCTGGGCGGCTACGTCAGCGCGACGGGCCGCGCCACGCTGGCCGCCCTGAAGCACCGCCCCCCCCCGGCGCTGGTCGGCAGCAGGCCGCTGCCGCGGGCCTTTCGAGCGTTCCAGGGCTTGGCGGAGCTCGCCCCGCCGCAGATGCGCTTGCCGCTCCCGCGCGTGGCCATGTTCGCGATAGTGGGCGCCCTCCTGGCTCGGGGATGCCTCTCGGAGGCGATCCTCGCGCGGCTCGCGTTCGACGCGCGCCCCCGCCCGAGCGAGGCCTGCCGCCGGACGGCCGCCTCGCTGATCGCACCGCGAGTCGGGTCCAGGAGTCCAAGGAGGGGCCCCAGCATTGGGCCATCCTGGTGAACGACGCCGCCAGCGGGGGGCCTGACAAGACGGGGATCGCGGACGAGAGCGCGATCGTCGACGACCCCTTGCTGTGGCCGCTGCTTGCCTCCCTCCGTCAGGGGCGCCGTCCCGAGGCGAGCCTGTGGAGCTTTTCGCCTGAGCAGGTCCGCCAGGCCGTCACGGCGGCCCTGGCGATGTTCCAGCTCGACGGGGAACAGACTTCGCTGTGCTCCCTGCGCCGCGGAGGGGCGCCCGACGACCTCCTGTCGGGTCGTCGGGCGCGGAGGGGGGTCAAGGGCCGCGGCCGCTGGAGGGCGGATCAGCCCCTGAACCGCTACGCCAAGCGGGCTCGGACGCAGCCACGGCTGGGCCAGCCAGCACCTGCGCCGGCGGCGTTCGGAGACGGGGTCGAGGCCGACCTGCTGCAGCTGATGGAGGAGAAGGCTCGGGCGGGCATCTTCCCTCTGCAGCAGCCTCCGCTCCTCCCCGCGTCAGAGCCGGCTCCCCGCGCTGACCGATCAGTGGGTTTCGTCTGAGCAGGCTCTGGCGCCGCGCGCGACGGCGCGCTTCTGTCATGCCGTGTCTCGTGACCCTGTGCCTTTGCGCGCCCACTCGCATCCGTTTAGCCTGCGGATCTCGTGGGTTCGGAACCGCTGCTACCAACCTTGCTCGTCATCGGCTTTGCGACGCTGGCGACCCGCGCCTGCTGAACGTGCTGCTGGGCTGGGTGCGCTCCTCGGCGGTGCTCGGCCTGTGGGCCTCTGTGCCGTCGGCCACCTGGAGGTCTGGAGCGGCCCGCCTGCGCCGCCTGGACGCCCCGCTGGAGGGGTCGAGAGTCTGTGAGCTTGATATGCGTGCCATCCGTGCTGCTCACGCTCTTCCCGCCTCCATTTTCAGGCTGATCGCATACTCTATTACTCGTAATGTTCTTGTGATTTTCGTGCGCCCTGATGCCAGCTTGATCTGGAAGCATCCCCTCCTTTCCCCGCTCCTTTCCTCCTCCTACTCTTCTTGCTCCCATCGACTCCTGCATGTATTCGGGGCGCGTGAGACAGAGATTGTTCCTGGTCGGATGGGGCGTTCGGGACCTCGGCCGCCTCTCGCGTCTTCGAGTGGGCTCCCAAGGCTTGTGTGACCGCACGGGCCGCCGTCATTTGGGAGGCCTTGGGCGTCCTGCGCTGGATGCCTTTGCTCGAGCCTCGACCCGTGGGCTCCCCTTTGAAGTGGCCACCGCAGGCACTGACATGATGGTGGCGGCCGCTCGGCAGCTGCCCCGAACCGCCCGTTATAACAAGGTTTTTTGTCAATGAAGTGCTTCGGCTGGGGCCATGTGTGGAGACCAGCGTATAGTGTATAGTACCGAGTCTGTGCTTCTCTGGCTAGCCTGTGCTCTCGAGGTGCCGTCGTCGTCCTGCGCAAAAAGTGCTCGCATGGCCTCGGGAGAGCCCCACATACAGCGACTTGTCGGCATCTGTGGGCATGTGTTGTGGCCGTATTTTTTCGCTCAAGGTCTTCCTTCGGCCCTCCCACCCACTTGAGCTGAACTTTTCCGTTGCCGAGCCTGTGCTTCTTTAGGTTGTGCTCGCGAGGTGCCGTCGCCATCCTGCACAACAAGTACTCGCATGGCCTCGAAAAGGGCCCCACATGATCATGATGATGCTGCTGTTGCTGATGCTGCTGATGCTGATGCTGATGATGCTGATGATGAGGATGCTGCTGCGGATCATGATGATCATGTTGCTGATGATGATGCTGCTGTTCATGATGGGTGTTGTTGATCGTGATCGTGATGCTGAGTTTGAGGATGCCGTTGGTGATTATGCTGGTGGTGATGATCATGAGGCTAATGCTGATAATGTTGGTGGTTACTGTGCTGATGATGGCGGTGATGATGCGGATGACGATGATGATGATGACGTTGTTGATGCTGATGATGATGATGCTGATTATGATGATGCTAATACTGCTGATGGTGATGCTGGTGCCGATGATGATGGTGATGTTGTTGCAGGTGATGATGAGGCTGATGATGTTGCTGTCCACGATGATAATGTTGATGCTGTTGCGCACGCTGATAGGTATAACGACGGTGATGCTGATGGTGATGCTGATGATGATGATGATGGTGATGATGCTCATGAGGACGAGGAGCGCGGAGGAAGAGAGATGATGATAATGACGCGGGATGATGAAGAAGAAGGATGGGGGGGATGAGGAGGAGGAGCAGGGGAGGAGGAGGAGGAGGAGGAGGAGGAGGAGGAGGAGGAGGAGAACGAGGAAGAGGAGGAGGAGGAGGAGGAGGAGGAGGAGGAGGAGGAGGAGGAGGACGAGGCGGAGGAGATGGAGGAAGAAGAGGAGGAGGAGCAGGAGGAGGAGGAGGAGGAACAGGAGGAGGAGGAGGCGGAGGAGGAGGAGGAGGAGGAGGAGGAGGGGTGGGAAAAGGAGGAGGGGGAAGAGGAGGAGGAGGATAGAGCGACCGCCGCTCAGGAAGGATCTCCGCGTCCGACCGACGGCGGCGCCCTGGCCGCGGCGCGGGGCCTGGGAGCGTGGAGCTCTCTCGACCGGTCCCGCGACTACAAAGGGGGTGGTTTACGCCAGGGTGTGGTCTGCGATTGGCGCCGCTGGGGCCCGGGGGCAGGACACCGTTTTCGTAGGGCGTTTTCGGGGCGCGGCGGAGAGCTCCGTCGAGGCCCTCGCTCGCTCTCCAAGGCGGCCCCCAGGGTGCTGGTCGCAAACCACATCCTCTGTAAACGGCACCCTTCGGAGTCGCCGACCAGGGCCGCGGCGTTTGTCGTCCTCGGATGCTCTGGTTTGGCGGGCCTCCTGAGGCCTGAATCGAGGTCGAGAGTCGAAAACTTCGTAAGTTTTTTTCGTGAGCGGTTCACAGGAGCTGCACAAACAGCACTGGGACAGCTGCATAACACGTTAAGCAAGAGCTCCTGATCAGAAGCTTTCGACGGTCCTCGACGGTCCGCGCGGACCGTCGAATGGTTACAGTCAACGCGCCCAGTGAGAACGCGCGCCTTCATCTAGGGTCTCGGCGGCCCGTCCTTTGCCGTTTTCACTGGTCGCCCGCCGCCCAAAAATCCCAACTTCGGCCTCCAATGGTCTTGCGTCCTTACCTCCCGTCCTTGGTACACGTTTGGATGATCTGTTTATGCCGTTGTTTCTTCCTGTAGATACTCGGAAAGACTGGCCGCCGCGATCTCGGGGGCCCCAAAACGGTGTGGTGACCACACCGCGTGGTGAGCCAGTGGGGATCCGGGGTCACCGCACGGTTTCTCGCCCGGAGTCGTTTTTGTTGACGGTCCCGAGGCCCGGCGAGGGCCTCCAGAGGCCGGAAATAGCGAGAAACACTCCGTCTTGATGTTTTTCATGGACCGAGGGTGTCTGTGTCGATGGTTTTTATTCGTTTCCACAGAGACCTCCCAGCAGTTGCACTCCATCATGCTGGTCTGGAGCTCCCCCTCCCCCCTGTGGGCAGGCACTCTGTGAAGAACCCGTACCCGCCTGCTGGGGCCGCCTTGCAGCCCGGCGTGGCCAATTCGCCCCTGGCTTGGGGGGGGGGCGGGGCGGGACCTCCTCCGCAGCGTCGTCCAACTGAAGTATCGGAGGCGGACAGGTTTCCCATACCGCTGCCCTCTCCTCGTTTTCCCCCTCCTGGGAGGCCCTCGTTGACACCGTTGCATTCGCCTCGAAATTCTTTACGCTTCGCGTATCCCCACCAGCCCATCTCACAGCAGCAAGTCTTGCGAAGCATGCCGACAGTCGTGTTTTTCAGGCGTGTGTCCGCTTGGGCCCGCATATCTCCCCTGTTCCTCCTTCCTCCCGCCTCCTTGTACATCCTCCTTGTGGGGGGAGCGGGAGAACGACGAGGCGGAGGAGGAGGGAGAGAAAGCGCTCCTCGTGATTTGAGTCGTTTGGGGTTTCTCGTCCTGGTGTGAGTCGTTCGGGCCCTTCTTCCTGGTGTGAGTCGTTCGGGCTCTTCGTGGTGTGAGTCGTTCGGGCTCTTCGTCCTGGTGTGAGTCGTTCGGGCTTCTCGTGGTGTGAGTTGTTCGGGCCCCTCATCCTGGTGTGAGTCGTTCGGGCCCCTCCTCCTGGTGTGACTCGTTCGGGCTCCTCGTGGTGTGAGTCGTTCGGGGCCCGCGTCGTGGTGTGAGTCGTTCGGGCTCCTCGTGGTGTGAGTCGTTCGGGCGCCTCGTCCTGGTGTGAGTCGTTCGGGCCCCTCCTTGTGGTGTGAGACGTTCGGGCTCTTCGTGGTGTGAGTCGTTCGCGCCCCTCGTGGGGCCTCTTGGGGACCTCTTGGAGCCTCTTGGGGCCTCTTGGGGGCCTCTTGGGGGCCTCTTGGGGGCCTCTTGGGGGCCTCTTGGGGCCTCTTGGGGCCTCTTGGGGGCCTCTTGGGGGCCTCTTGGGGGCCTCTTGGGGCCTCTTGGGGGCCTCTTGGGGGCCTCTTGGAGGCCTCTTGGGAGCCTCCTGGGGGCCTCTTGGGGCCATCTTGGGGCCTCTTGCGACCGCCTCAGAAGCGCAAAGTAGAGCTGCCCCCTGAAAAGGATAAAATGAGGCCAGAACCTTAGTAAACTTAATAAGTTTGCTATGAAGGAAGAGGAGCGCGGCCCCCTCAGAAGTCCAAAATGAGACCAAAACCATAGTAAAATCAAAGTTTTTTTGCTTCAAAGAAGAGCAGAGGGGCCAAACTCCCCCCCCCCCTCGGGGCCAGAATCCTCATGAGGGTCGTCGTTTTTTGGCCCTCCCAGGAGTCGAAAAAGGCCCCCCTGACCACCCGTCGGGGCCTCTCTCCAGGCCCAGGGGGAGGGGGTAGGGGGAGGGGTCAACCCCTCCCCGAAGGGGAAGAAGGGGGGTTGAGGACAGAGCGGGCTCTCTAAACCACTCACGCCCAAAGGGCTGGTGGGATTCTGGTCAGAACGCACCCCCGGAGAGGCCGAGGGAGTAATCCAGAAGCCGCATTAAAGTGATCATTTCCCCCCTCTGTGACAGAGGGGGTGCGTTTGGAGGCCCTCTGTGACAGAGGGGGTGCGTTTGGAGGCCCTCTGTGACAGAGGGGGTGCGTTTGGAGGCTCTCTGTGACAGAGTTGCTCGTCATCCCGTTCCTCCTCATCCTGCTTCTTGATTTCGGATATGTCATGCTACCACTGCGCTCATCATCTTTGCGTCTGTGATCCTCGTCGTGTTTTTCCATGCGTCCTTTTCACAATTTCCACCACATTATCCTCCGTTGCCGTTCTGCCCCGCCATCTACCTCGTCACTCTCCTTCGTCTGCATGTCCTCATTCTCTTCCGCTCTTTTTTCCCCCCCCTCTGGTTCGATTTCCGCTCTTCGTCCACTTCGTTCTTCCGTTTCCAACCCCCCTTCCTTTCAAGTTCTCTGCCGTCCAATCACATCGCGTCGTCCGTCGCCGCTATGCTCAAACCATCCCGCGCCCGTGGGATCGCCCGCGAGCAACGGTGCAGCCGGGCCCGTCGCGGCCTAACGCGCGCCTGCGCCATCGTCTTGCAATGGGCGATGCAGGCGGATACACATGGGGTGGCGCGGAAGGATGGTGGGGTAGCCGCAGCAGCGGCCAGCGTGGCTGGGAGGACGGCCATGATTGCTCAGCGCGGGGTTGGAGAGAGTGGCGACAAGACGGGAACGCGCCAACGGAGGACGCCAAATGGCGCGATGGCCCTGCCGCCGCAGCAGCGGCGGCGGTCTCGCCTCAACGGCCGTCTCGCTTCGCCGCGCTTAGCGTTGTGAGCCCCCGCGCCCCTGGTCTCGGCATGCCCGAATTCGATAATTTCGCGAGGGCTGCCCTCCGAAACTCACCAGAACCTGGGGGCGCAGTTTCAGGAGAGGGGTCGGGGTCCCGAGCCGCGCCTGCGGCGCAGGAGCCCCGCGCCACCGCAGCGGCGGCGGCGCGCGGGCCCCAGGATTTTGAGAAGTTTGATGTTAATTATTTTTTGAGTTATGAAGAGAGGCTCGGCACTTCGTTTAAGCAACACAACCAAGCGTTGAAATGGTGGCGCCACCTGAATGAAGACCCAACTGCCCCTTTCGAGTCAGAAGCCAAGTGATTTGACAATGCGGAGCCCACCATGGTCGCTGTTTGCGACCACGGTGCGAGAACGAGCTTTGGTTTCAGAAGCGACGAGGAAGTCCCTTGGCGGTGGCAAGAGATGGTGGCGACGCTCAGGGAGGAAGATATCAGGGAGGTCGTGGGGGGGCCCCGCAGCAGCGGGGCTCTGATCGGCTGTCCCCTCGAAGTCCGGCCAAACAGCTACGACCACATGCGCCAGAGTATTGTGCGCGCGCGACAGTTCGCGGGGCAGCGGGTGAAAGTGAAGCTGCCGATGTGGGGTTTCGCGTTGCACCGCGACGACGGGACAGGCGCCCGCTTGCACCCGCACTGGGGCGACAGGAAGGTCGAAGCTCTGCCCCTCATCCCCCGCGCGGACACGGCGAGGCCACAAGCCGCGGGCATGGGCGGGAGCGACGGGTCAGGAACTTATCGCTGGTACAAGGACCTCGGTGTGGAGCGCAAGGTCAAGTTCGACGCCGCCAGAGAGAAGGGGAGGCCGACGCCATCTCAGGGGCCCCGCATCAGCGGGGCCGCGGCGTCCAGCACCGGGCCCTCGGCGTCCGCAGCAGCGGCTGGCAAACCAGTAGTTTGGGGACCGAATAGCTCCCCAGACGATTTGGTTGCGGAGTAGATGGCTCCGCAGCAGCGGGGCTCGAATGAAGGGCGCGTTGCATTTCGGCAGGGGCGCGCGCGTCGGCCGCCGAGATCGGGGGCGCGCGTGCAGGCGCCGTGGCGCGATCTTCGTTCTGAAGTCTTCCCTCTCCTCCCTGTCCCCCCATCCCGCCGCCCTCAACGTCGGCTCCTCGCCGCCCGTTCCTCGTCGCTCCACGCCTGTTCGTTCTCCTCCAACTTCCTCTCCCGCTTCCTCGCTCTCTCCTTCCCATTTTTCCCTCCATCCCATTGCATCCCTGGCGCCCCATCGAAGTTCGCAGTTCGAAGTTTGAAGTTCGGAGTTCGAAGGTCGAAGTTTGAATTTCGAAGCTTCGCACTTCGAGGTTCGATCTTCGAACCTTCGTCATCTCGTCGTCGTAATCGTCGTCCTCGTTCGTCGTCGTCGTTCCTCGTCGGCGTCGATTGTCGTCGTCGTCGTCGCTCGTTGTCGTCGTCGCCGTCGTCGTCGTGGTCGGCGTCGTCGTCGTCGGTCGTCGTCGTCGCTAGTCGTCGTCGCTGGTCGCCGTCTTGGTCATCGTCCTCGTCGTCGTCGTCGTGGTCGTCGTCGTCCTCGTTGTCGCCGTCGTGGTCATCGTCCTCGTCGTCGTCGTCGTCGTTGTCGTGAAACGCCCCACGTAGGAGGAGCAGAGAAGGGAGTAAGGAGAAATGAGCACGGTGGAGGGAGGAGGGAGGATTGAACAGGAAGAGGAGGGTGCAGGTGGAGGTAGAAGGGATGAGGTAGTTCAGAAGTGGGAGCAGCAGACTGGCGCAACGGGAAAAGCCGTGTGAGTGCAGGGAGGGATGGCAATGCGATAAAGTGAACCCGCAGCCGTTGCAGGTCTGCCTCCCGCCGCGCCCGCCCGCCTCCGCGACGGAACCGCGCAGGGGCCTCTGCCGAAGTCTCCGCAGCAGCGGGGACTGCCAGAGGAGGCTCCTTCGCGGCCTTGCGCCGCTATGGCGAGCATCGCGGGCAAGTGCGACGTCGATGACTTCGAGCTCATCGCATCGGATGGCAGTGCTTCGAGCTGGGCGACCATGGTGGTGCGGTTCTTCGAGTGGCGCAATCGTTGCCGCCATGCACGCGCCGTTGGAGAGAAGGGCCAGATGCTCGTCGACCAGGCGCGGCAGATGATGGAGGAGGCGCGCCGCACCGAGGAGAAGGGCAAGATGATGCTTGAGATGTCGAAGAAGACGGCGAAGGACATCCCAGGCAATATTCGGTACTTCTGCCGCCAGCCGCACCAGGAGAGCTGAGCGGCGATCGGAGCTGGGCCGATAGAGGAGGGCGAGGAGGAAGAGGAGGGAGGATGAGGAGAGGAGGAGGAGGGGGATGAGGAGTTGGGGGCAGCACGCGCACCCGCGCTGAGAGCCGCCAGCCGCGCCCGTCTCCGAGCTTGAAACCCGAGCTCGGCTGGAAGGGGGGGGGAGGGTGGTCGCAGAAACAGCACAGGACAGGGATGGGAGAGGTCACGCATCCGCCGCAGTAGTGGCGGTGGTACGACAGTTCTCATGGCGGCGCGGCGGTCGCTGAGAAATGGGGCAAGTGCGAGGGCCTGCGTGCGCTTAATTATGGGTGCCTCTCGTCCCCTCCCCTCCTCTTCCTCCATGGGATCTCTCTCCGGGTGCATATCCCCTGCCAGGTCTCGTCCTGCTCCTCTCCCTCTGTGTTCGTCCTGCCCTCCCCTCGCGCCTCGCCTCCGTCTCCGTCCTCCCTCGTCCGTTCCTGCCGCCAGCCGCATGGGGCGTTCTCAATCAACACCCCATTGAGTGCCCCCATGTGAAGGTTGCCCTTGTCATGAGGGCGGACTCGCAAGAGCCGAGGGGCTGAA